CCGTCACCTTTCAGCACCATCCTTCTCCAGGGAAAAGGAGAAGGGCACCGAGAAGGGAAGACAAAGATGCCCAAATGAATTAACTGACTTCTCCAGAGCTGGGTTGTTCTCCAGATGCCCTCGGATGGCCTTGCGCATCATGGTGTTCTTGCCCATCAGCACGACAGCCTTCCCGCGGAGGGACATGCGGATCTGCTGCATCTGCTTGGAACCTACGTTGTCTGCTCCCACAATGAAGCATTTTGGATAATCGTCCAAAAGTTGCTATAAAAACAAGACAGAAACGAACGATGTTTAGCAGGAGGAAAAGAGGAAAAATAGCAAGAGAAACCAAATCCCACGATCACTGACTTCCATCTCCCTTCCTTCCTTCTATGCTTTCGAAACGATTCAGAAACTGGGACAATTTCTTCCACCAGGAGCCACCTGAGTTGTAAAACTGACAGATTTGTCAATCTGTACCCTTAATATGTACAGTGAAGATTAGGTCTCTACGTTCAATCCCCAAATTTTATTGTAGCATTCATTTTTAATTTTTCCCCACTTATGAGGCATGTTTCTATCCATTAAATGGCTGCATCAACAGAAAAAAAACATTCCAAGTAAGACTAGGCTTGCAGCATTTTAAACAAGACAAAACAAATACAACAAAACGTCACTTGCATAATCTAGGTTGTAGATGTGTGATTCCTAGACAATTCTTTTAAGTTCTCTGTATGTCTGAAAACTTCCAAGATTAACAGGGGAGACTAGATTAAGCTCCACAAGGCAGCCTAATGCCAACAGCATGGTCTGGGTTTCTGGAAAGACCCACCTCAAGAGCACCCAATAGAATACACCTGCAAGATGTTTGGTATCTTGACTGACAAGACCTAAATATGCAACAAGTTGCCACTTTATAATGAGTTATTCATTGCCTCATTCGTTACAAAATGGAGGCAGAAGCGCAAAACCACGATGAGTGCTATTTGTAAGCCAGACAGACCAGAATATGAATGCTGTCATCTTAGGAGCCAATTAACCTGCCTGAACCCGTTTATCTGAAAGGGGGGGGGGGGCGGTTAGGGAGGGCGGGTAGATCTCCACAAACTGTGGAAATTAAATGAGACTTTCCTAAAATGGTCATTTAGTAGCTGGCACCAAGGAAGTGCTCAGCACATGACAGCTGATCGTCCCTTTTGGTGCCCAAGGCCCAAGCAGCATAATGCGCGATCGCGACCCATCCCGCACTTACGATTATCTTAAGGAAGTAGTTGGACTTCCAGGTCGCCCTGTCTTCCCTGGGCATCACGGCGGTGCGTCAGGGATTGCCACGCAGGGTTTAAAGACGATGTCACTGAGGAAAGAGAGGAGCTCAGGCAACCCTCCGCCCCGACACCCATCCCCATGGCCTTGCTGGACTCCAAACACAAGGCCTACGCAGGGCAGGCCACGCGTGAGAGCCCGCCAGCCCGAGCTGGGGCTGCCGCCGCCATCACCGTCGCCACCCCTCGGGGAGCGCAAGCCACCTCCAAGGCCCCAGCCCAGACAGGCCCGGACCCTGTCCCCCACCAGGACCCCACAAACACCCCCCATCCTTCCTTCCCGCCGCCGGTGCCCGACACTACCCCATGACCCACACGAACCTCTCACGAGGACGCCTGGAAAGAGGAGGGGCGTGCGCCGGCGCACACCTTTTATATATGAATGAAGCGGCCAATCAGAAGACGCGGACAACGTCCCCGGCTATTGGCTGGTGCCGCCGCCCGTCTGGTGACGCACAACTAGTGTAGATCGGCATTGGATGATATTGCTGCCACTCCAGCCAAAGGAAAGCCTTCTTTAAATAAAGAGGTTAAGAAAGGCGCTGCCGGGTGTCCGGAGGCGCTCTGTCAAAGCGGCTGCCCTCTGCTGGGCTGGAGCTGCTTGTGTGTGGGAACTAGAGCTTGCAAACGGAGCGTTCAAGTTTTTTCCTGCCACCTAGCCAAATCGCAAATTAAACAGTACGATGTGGAGCTAAGAAATAATTGCATATGCTTTAGAAACAGCATAGTCTCGTCTACAGTTTCTTCTTCTCCCTACCAAAACAGAGGAATCTTTTAAAACTTAAGTTAGATCATTTCTCATCTGCTCAAAACTCCTCAAAGCCTTCCCATTTCCCTCAGAGTAAAAGCCTAAAACTTAAAACTCCCTACAAGGTCCTGCATGATCTGCTCTGGACCTACCCTCCTATAATTTATTTTCCTACTGACTCATTCGCTTCCACCAGACTATGCTCTTCCCTGTTTTTCCAGAGCATGCTCCCACTTTATGGTCTTGCAGTAGTAGCTAGTCCCTCTTCTTAGAAGGCTCCTTGCTGGTATCCACAGAAGTAACAACTCCAAGTCTTGGCTCAGATATCATGCACTCAAGGAGGCCTATGCTGATCACCCTATTTAAAATTACCCCCAAAATCCACTACCACCACCCCCACTCCTTCCTTACTGTGTTCTATTTTTTTTTTCCTTTGGTAGCACTTACACCTTTTGTTTGCTTTTTGTTTTGTTTTTTAGCACTTAGACTTTATAACACAGTATGTAACTTATTACGTTGTTAGTTGTCTGTCTCTCCCCACAAGAATGCAGGCCCCACAAAGCAGAGACGTTTATCTTATGTCTGGCACATAGCAAGCATATAATAAATATTTGTTGAATGAATGAATGCAAATTTTGCAGTCAGAAGACCTGGACCCATACCCTTCGTCACTTACCCTTACCCTTCTTACCCTTACCACTTGCTAACTATGTCATCTTAGGAAGTGATTTCACCTTACTGACCCTGTTTCCCTTTCCTTAGCTGTAAAATGGGGATAATCAAGTATCTACATTCTAGAAAGAGTTGCTATGAGGATTAAATGAGATATATAACACATATCTTAACAATCCCTGGAATGTAGGAGGAAGTCACTAAATACTAGTTTATTTTATTATACATTCATTCAACACTTATTTGAATGTTTATTTATTTATTTTGAGAAAGAGAGAGAGGGCGCGCACGCAGGGGAGGGACAGGGGGTGAGAAAGAGAATCTTAACCAGGCTCCAGCCTCAGTACACAGCCCCATGCTGGGCTCCATCCCATGACCCTGGGATCATGACCTGAGCCGATATCAGGAGGAGTTGGACACTCAGCTGACTTAGCCACCCTGATGCCCTCAACACTTATTTGAACACTTGTGCTATATCCATAGTTTTTTTGTTTTTTTTTTTTGTTTTTGTTTTTTTGGTTTTTTTGTAATGATTGAGCTTAGATCCTAGGGCAGAAGCATGTTTCTATCTTCACTCTTTTCACATGGCCAAGTTACAAATTCTTGTATTTTTGTTTCAAAGTTTCCTAGTGCCTCTGACAACCAGCTGTTTAGAGGACTGTTGGAGTCAATTACTGCCAAGCTCCCTTTCTAATGACAATGTATTACTGCACGCTCAGCATTGGGCTAAGTACTTTGTGCACATTACTGCTGTGAATCTTTGCAACAATTCCCTGAGGAGGTACAGTATTAGTAATTCCATTTATTGGTGAGAAAATTCACAGAGGTTAAACAACTTGCCCAAGTCCTTCAACCAGTAAACAATGGCTTGGGGTGTGGGGCGGGGCGCCTGGATGGCTCAGTAGGGTTAGCATCCAACTTGGTCTCAGGTCATGATCTCCAGGTTCACAAGTTCGAGCCCCACACCTGGCTTGCTGCGGTCAACAGGGAGCCTGCTTCAGATCCTCTGTCCCTTTCTGCCCCTTCCCCCTCATGTGCACATACTCCCTCTCTCTCAAAAATAAATAAATATTTAGAAAAAAAAAAAAAAAAAAACCAAAACCAAAAACCCAACAACCCCAATGGCTTTGGAACTGAAATCTAGGAGCAAGTTCAAAGCCCATGGGCCTCATAATGCTATCCAGTCCCCTCCAAACCCTGAGGCTGTTTCTCCCTAACCTATACTTTTCCGTGTATATACATACTCATATGGTACCTTTCCAAGGACATCCTGGCTCTGATGATATAAATATCATCTCTAATTGTAGTACATCAATATAATGGAATATCATGAAGCCATTAAAAATGATGCAGATCTATATTTATTGACACGGGAAAATACTCACAAAGTACAGTTGAGTGAAAAAGCAAATCAGTGAGAAAGCAAATTACAGTAAAGTGAGCCATATACATTTCTATAAATAAATCCAGCATGGTCTGGAGGAATAAACCACCATTACCTTTGGGTAACAGTTGAAGGTAATTTCCACTTGAGCTCTCTGTGAAATGGTCAATCAAGATTCCAACTAGAATTCAACATGCTGCTTTTTGGAAACGCATTGGAGAGAACATGTAAATTCCGAAGCAGCTAAGGGAACAAAGCTATCCAGGAAGCTCCTAGGGCCCAGGACTGGAATTCTGGCTCAGACCAGGAAGGAAGCATGCAAGTATGGATATGACCACCGGAGGGCACTAGAGACCCATCCTCAACTGTAAGTCCACCAACTTCTGCTGGGAAGGTTCCCACCCCGCTCCGCTCCAGCCAGCAAGTCCGGCGGCGGCGGTGGGGGCTACATCTGGTCAAAGCAGGAACCAAGGCAGAGGCAAGCCCTGGGTTCACATCCTGCCTCTGGGCTCACTCAGAGAATTGTGTTGTGCACGTCAGTTCTCTCTGAACCCCTTCCCTTATCTGTAAATGAGTGTGAGGTCACCCACAGACCCCACGTGAGGATGCCCTTCAGGGAATCTACAGCAAAACTAAGGCAGGGCCTGATCCATGCAGGGCCCAACAGCAATGCTCTCCCTGCTTTTCCTCACCAACTGCTGAGAAAAGAGCCAAGCTCACGCAGGGATCCCATCTGTTCCGGGGGCTTTTTGCCTCAAGTAGGGGAACATCACTGAGTTACTCTCATACTATGGTCTCCATGAATCCGCGGAGGGCTTGGTCTCTTTTCTGGCACTAAATTGTTACCTCAGACAGGATCTTCCTCACCAAGAAAAGGCACTAGGCATAGGCATAGGTGAAAATAATGGCAAATTTTATTGGCATAAGTCACAGAAATTGAAATGGGGAAAAGCCAGGTTAAAAGTTTACAGAGAAAAAAAAAAATAAAATAAAATCCTCAAATAACCATTGCCCCAGAAGGTAGACCCCAGAAACCCCAGTACCCCTAAGGGAGGGGCCCTGGGGCCAGTCACTGTAAACAGAGCAATAAGGCCTATGGGTGGAAGTGGAGACATCAGACCTTTGGAGGGGCCTGGCTGACCTCCCAGACTGGGGTTGCTCCTAGCCCTGTCTCAAAGGAGGGGGACCCTCTTCTGAGACCTCGGCACACTCAGTCTTTGCTATGAAGCTAGTGGAGTGGTCTGGATCATCTTCACGTTAGACCCCCGCCGGGACCCCTTCTGCGGACCTGGAAAGCCAGGCTTGCCTGTTCCTGTTTCATCCTTGGGGGACAGAGCTCTGAGGGCTTCCTACTGCTTTAGCAGGATCCTGTCCCCTCTGCCTGGAGTCCTATCAGGCCCCCTTGCAAAAATTTTTGGGCCCTTTTCCCCAGACCTCCAGTCTCCAGGGAGGGCAGGGGAAATTTGGGGAAATACGGGGCCCAGTGGAATCAACAAGACCAATGGTCAAAATCAGATACCAGCTTTCCTGAGAAGGCAGAAGAAAAAGCCAGAGAGAAGCAGTGAGGAGGCCGAGAATGTTCGGCAGGTTCTCTTTGCTGCCAAAAAGTTCACAGGGGAGCAGATGCTCCTGATGGCTTACTCAGACAGGAAGCAGCACCCCCAAAGTGTACTTTCCCCTTCTCCCCCCTCAGGAACAGCACAGATGAGGTTCAGAACTCTAGGCCCCAAAGGGCAAGACACCCTAAGGCCAGTTTCAGTTAAGAGCTTGCTGGCCCAGGTAGTAAGGAAGGGGTTTTAAAATACAGCAGTTTATATAAAACAGTCCTGGTGAGCTGTGAAGTTAAGGAAGGGGAGTCAGAGAACTGCTCCGAATTCACCTGCTTGTGCTAAGAAAAAATAAAATACAAATTGCTTCCCCACCCCAAGCCCTCAGTACAAGGCAAATGCCATGCCACGGCCATTGTCACCAACAGGACAAGTGGCCATGGAGGAGGAGAGTACAAAAGGGGACATCTTTAAAATCTCTTCAAAATCATTTTGTATAGAGAAGTAAAAGCAACTCAAGACGATATGAATTCAAACCTCAGTGTAGAAATCTATCAAAGTCGGTACAGTGTCCAGGCACGGGGCAAAACTCCCCACCTCGCGCCGTCCCAGAGACGGAGGAAGTGACTATAAAACATTATTGCTGAAGAGGCCTCTCTCAGTAGAACCAGAGCCGTTATGGGGGGGATGGGGGGAGCAGGGGGCAGTTGCCCAGGCCTGGGGAGACTGGAAGGACAGGAGGAGCACAAGAAACCTTCTGGGTGGCCCCTTGACCACTTCCACCCTTGGGTAGATAGATTTATGCTGGCATTGTCTGAAGGGAGCTGGGTGTCCCCCAATACTCTCAGGACAAGGATAATCAGGTCGGGACGGGGTAAGAAGGATAAAAAAAAGACCCCATCAGACCCTGCCTGCCCTTCCCCCTGGCTCCACTGCCAGAACATGAGTAAGAGATGGCTCCAGTGTCGGGTGCTGGCATGGCCAGGCGGGTTGGTGGGGACACACGTCCAGGGAGGATGAAGAGTCGGCAGCCTGGGAGGGGGCTGCAGGTGGAGGAAAGCCCAGAGGCTCTGGCAGGGGAAAGAAGAGTGGGCCCTCTTGCCATCCTGCACCGGCCGAGGACACGGGTTCCAGTTTCGATCAGGTGTGCCCCTTCACCCCTGGGCAAGGCCTCTGGGTCACAGTAGCAGTTGCGGGGGGAGGGGGGGTGGCTGGGCCAGGGCAGGGGGGGCCATGAAGGATGCCTAGCAGAAGAGCTTGAGGAAGCAGTTCTGACAGTAAGGCTTGTCGTTCTGCTCCTTGAAGGTGCCCTTGTTGAGCTGCTTGAGGCAGAAGGCACAGACGAAGTGCTCCGGGTGGAACTTCTTGGCCATGGCGGTGATGCAGCGGCCCGTGATGGGCTTCTGGCAGCCAGAGCACAGTGAGCCTCGCCGCTCGTGGTAGTGCACCTCACAGTAGGGCTGCCCGTCGTGCTCGAAGAAGCTGCCGTTGACGAAGGGCGTGAAGCACTCCTGCCAGGCAGAAGAGGGGGGTGGGGCACAGGAAAGGGGGCTCAGGCTGGGACATCTGCCACTGGCATGGGCAGAAGTCCGTCAAGGTCATGACTCCCCCTTGCTGAGCGTTTCCTGTGTGCCACGTGCTGCACCAAACGCTCACTGGATCCTGCCAACAGAGGAGGCAACTGAGACCTAGAAGTTCAGTGACTTGCCTACAGTCACACATCTACTAAGTTGCAGGGCCTGGATTCAAACACAGGTCTTACTGGGCTCCTGGGCAAGTGGCCTTAACATTGTGCCCAGAAACCCACCTGCACACTTGGGTGTCAAAGGCACTGAGAAGTGTTGCAGTGAGCAGTGTTTTCCAAACTTATCTGGTCTGAAAGCCCTTGCTGGATCTCTAACATCTGTGGACTCCCATTACCTCCAGAATGCAGTTTGGAGACCATGGCCCAATATTTCCACTGAGGCTGCTAAATGCTTGATCTCATTTAATTCTCACGTGCCCTTCTACCGAACGTGACCAGTGCCAGGGCCGCCCACCACACAGGACAAGGCTTGGGGACATGTCTACCTTACTCCTCTTGGTTTCTCCCCGCCTCAGTATGAGCTCTGGCCCAGGACCCACTGGACCTGGGAACTGTACCCCCTATCTGCTACCTCTTTAATGACGCCCAAGTTAGATCCAGAGAGCATCACGGGGGGCGGAGGGGTTTCCTTCTCTCCCCACTGCCCGCTCCCAGCTCCCTCCAGACAAGTAGGCCAGGGGGCTCCCTACCCGGCACACAAAGCACTCGGGATGCCAGAGAGTGTTGAGGGCCGAGATGTAGTTCTCCAGGATGGCCCGGGCACAGCCACCACACTTGGGCGCGAACATGTCAAAGTAATCCTTCCGGCAGTAGGCCTTGCCGTCTTTCTCATGGAACCCTGAGGAGCAGGGGTTTGGGGGGCAGAGTTAGGGCTTCCAAAGGAGGAGCCACCCTGACTCTCACATCAGCAAAGTCTCCTGCCCCTGCCTCCCCAGTGCTGGGGATGGGGGTGGGGGGCAGAAGGAGGGGCAGCAAGGTGGCCTGCCTGCCAGTCGTACCTTCGGGACCAAAGAAGGCTCCACACTGGGCGCAGAAGAAGTGCTCGGGGTGCCACGTCCGGTCCAGGGCTGTCACCACTTTCTGTGAAAGCAAAGTGTGGGCCCAGAGCCCAGTTGCCAACCCACTGGACAGATTCCACAGTGGAAACTCACAGGCAAGACCCTCCCACCCCCCCAGCCCATCCAGAGATGAAGTCTCTCCCTCACTGTGCTTGGATTACTACCGGGAATTCCAATTCACTGAAGGAAATGACATGCCCAACACACTCTCTCTCCTGAATCTTCACATGGTAAGGTTAAGGTCACAGGTTGTACTGTGACCCCCATCTTATAAGAAAAGAAACAGTCTCAGAGAGGTTGAGCGTTTCCCTAAACATCACACAGCAGGAGAGTGAGGGCACCAGCATGCCACTCCACTTATCAGGGTGGAGCTCCAAACTCCTGGGAGCTTCCCCAGAGGGAATCTGGGATGGAGGTGGAAGGGAGGCAGAGGGGCCCTGAATCCAGCCTGCGCTTGAATCCCAGCCCCACCGTTTCCTGGCTGTGTGAGCTCGAGCATAGGAGTGACCTCTCTGAGCATCAGATGGCACGAACTATAGCGAAGAAGAAATGTGCATGTGCCAGCACGGCTGCCCTCCCACCACGCCACAGGGACTCACATCCAGGATGGGACCGTTGCAGTAGTAGCAGCGTGGAGAGAAGAGGTTGTGATAGTCCTTTTCACAGTAGGGCTGCCCATCCCGCTCAAAGAAGTTCCGGGATCCGATCTCCTCTTGGCAGTGGGTGCAGACAAAGTGCTCCGGGTGCCACGTCTTTCCCATGGCGGTCACAACCTGAGGAAGGAGGCAGAACACGGCTCCGGGCCCTGGCCTGCCGCGGAGCACCCTCCCCTGAGGAGCAGAGGTCCGACCACTTGCGGCTCCCTCCCCTCTCCACCTCGACGTTCATCACCTGCCCAGCAATGGGCTTCTTGCAGGCCCCGCAGACCCCTTTGGCAACCGTGGCGACCCCCAGTTTGTTCAGGTCAGACTGCAGGCTCCCCAGCATACTATCCAGCTGGCTTCCAGGCTTTGGAGGCCCCCCAGGGGGAGAGCTGCTCCCTGTCTTCCCCTGGGCCATGAACTGTGGAGACAGGGAGAGAGGTGGTCAGGACTTCCAGGCTTGGGGACGACGTCTGCAGCACCGCGGCACTGGGGGAGTTTCTCCCTCCTGGACATTTGGGCTGATAGAGGCAAGCAGGGCCACCTCTTCCAGGGCCTCCAGAGCCCAGAGGGTGGGAATGGCATCCACAAGAGATCCTGGTGGTCACAGGGGTTCAAGGCACCCCACCGGCCTGACCAACGTCCAGAAAATGGGCAAGCAGGACCCTAGGCCCCCAGCCTCAGCACTGACCCCTCCCTCGTCCTGCCCTTCGGGACTGCTCTGCCTGCCGTTCGGAGGCCAGCCGGCCGCCCATGCTTCTCCATCCGCAATCTGTTCCAGGCCCTGGATCTTGGGTAGGGGAGGAAACGAGGACAAGAAAATTGTTTTTAATTAAGGAAGAAAGAAAAAGAGATCTTGGAATTGGACCATTTCACAAAAGGGAATCTAAGAGAGATAAGAGATCCCGCCCCCACCCCCCAACTGGAAGTACCAAAATGAGGAGGAAAAGTCTAGAGAAGGATGGCCCAGGCAGACGTGAAGAAGGGGAGAAAGGTGAGCCAGCTAAAGGCACAGACACAGGAAAGGAAGGTGACTGGGGCCAGGAGCAAAGAGGCCTTCCAGATACTGGTCTAGGGGCTGGAGGGAGAGAAGACTTGCTTTCCCTTCTGGGAATGGCTTCCTCAGAGGAGGGTGGGGCAGGACCAAGGGACATCAGGAAGGAACAGGCAGAGAGAAGCCCCACCGGGGAGCAAGAGGACAGATGACATCAAAGGGCTGGGAGAGTGAACGGCAGATTAAGAGAGGGTCCCGGGTCAAAGCGAGGTCTACGGAAGGACTGTGGTACTGTCCTGACGTGTGCACAGGGGCGGGGATGGGGGAGTGTGCCACAGGGTATGTGTGTGTGTGGGGGGGGGGGGGGCCTGCAAGTGTGCAGGGGAGGGACAAGGCCCAGGCAGCAGAACGGGGACAGGGAGGCCTGCCTGCATCGGGGGGAAGAGCGGGTCCTCGTCGGTCTGGCAGCCCACGGACCTCCAAGTTTGGGGTACAGGAGGGGGAGGGGTGGGGCCCTTCACACCCTCCTCCTGCAGCCCTGCCACAGCACTCAAGTCCCCAGGGGAACCTCGGGCAAGAGCGGAGGGCCCCAGGGAGGAGGGGGCGGGCAGGCTGGGTGAGGGAGAAGGGCTGCTGGCTGAGGAGTCTTTACGCTGCTGGAGCAAAGGGACAGGAGGAGGAGAAGCCAGAACAGAGAAGGTTCTTCTCAGGGGAACAGGGGAGCCAGGAGGGAAGACGACCTGGGAAGAAGAAAGGAGGGAGAGAGATGAAGCAGAGCAGAGGAGCAGGGTGCGGCGCCATCCCCAGGCTCCCCCTGGGCTTTCCCACCCTGGCACCAAGCATGAGGTCATGAGGCCATGAGGCCATGAGGCCATGAGGCCAGCCTCACCAGGCCACAGGGTGCAGGGCCCCCTTCCCCCCACCTCCCCGCACACCCCACATCTCCCCTCCAGCCATCCTGGGGAAGAATCGGGATGCCTACTGCCCTGACCCTGGCCCTGGCCCAGCCCCGGGCACCTCCTCGCTACCTTTTCTACAAGCTGCCCCCCAGCCCGCCTCCCTCGAGGCTGCACAGTGATGATGACGCCCTCAGTCAGCCAGTCCTCAGCAGAGGCCCCCGCTGCCCCCGCGGCCTCCTCTGCCTCCGGCTGGATGCCGAGCCGACCCTGCAGCTCTGCGATGAGCCGCTCCTGGGATGGGGTCCTGCTCAGGGTGGCGGGGTCCAGCCGGCGGCGAGGGGAGGGCTCCCGGGACATGGGGTGCGCGTGGCCTGTCTCCCGGCTCCTCCTGATCACAGAGCGGATCTGAGGGGGGAGGGGGAAGCCGTCACAGTCCCACTCTGGGCTCAGCCGATGCTGCTCAGTCCACACTCAGGTGCCCCAGGGAAGAGGCAGGACAAAACTGCCAGAAAAGAGCCAAGCTGGGGTGAGGTTGAGGCAGGGGGCAGAGCAGACTCCCTCCACCCAGCGCTCACCTCCATGTCAGCAATGACCTTGGGCAAGACACTTCACCTCCAGGGGCCTCAGCTTCTCTATCCTTGAAATGGGGTTAGAGTACTTTCTTGGCTGCCTTACAGGGTTATCACATTATTTGAAAGGACGTTAAGTGGACATTCTTGAAAAGGCATAAGGCTCTTTCTTTTTTTGATCTGAAGTAGAAAAACGTGATCTTTCTTCCAATAAATCTTTTAATTTTTTCCTTATGTATATTATAACCTGCTCATTTATAGTGGTTTTGGCTTTTTTGTTTTTGCTTTACTTTGTTTTGGGAGAGGACATAAAATTTTAATCACGCAAGAAGCATATAAAAACAGTAACATTAGCCGTGGCTTATTGAGGACCACATGCTGTATTCTCAGCACTTCACAGGCATTATCTCATTTAATCCTCTGGACAACCTTCGGGGGAAATGGTCTATTATACCCTCATTTTCTCTCTCTCTCTTTTTTTTAAGTAGGCTCCACACACAACGTGGGGCCTGAACCCACGACCCCAAGATCAAGGGTCGCATGCTCTGATGAGCCAGGCAGGTACCCTACTATTACCCCCATTTTAAAGATGAGAAAACTGAGGCTGGTGGGGGGTTGCCCAAGGTCACACAGGGTAGCAAGTACTGGAAGCGCAGTTTATATTCAGTACTATCTGGTTCCAAAGCCCATGCTTTTAACCATTTTGCACACATCACATCAGAAAGGAGGAGCCCACCTAAAGGAAAAAGCCTTAAACGAGCAAGAGGCAACTGTCACTAAGAGATCATTCCAGGGCCCAGAGAATTCCACTGCTGAATCCTGGTCATCAGGGTCACAGGCCACGCGATCTTCGGATTTGCTGCCCAAGCAGACATGCAGAGTGGGAGGCTACATGCGGTTAGGCAGGAGGGGCCCACACTTGGGCTGGCGGAGGACCATGCCTAGCAGCCGTGCGAGCTTGCGCCTGCCTGGCCCGAGGTGGAAATCCTCTCAGTGGTGCTGGGCGTGTCCATGACCACGGCAGGTGGAAGCTCCGACTGTTCCCTCCTGGCAGCAGCTTCAGTGACGCCCTCTGGCCACCTGGGGGTCTCAGGTCCCTGGGTTGGCCTGACCAGGCTTCCCTTCATGAGTGTCTGTCCACCTAACTGCTCCTTGCCAACTGGGGCCGGGCCGCTGCTTTCCAGCTCCCCTGGCTCTGGCTTTGCCCTCTGCTTCCGCTGTCCACATTCCTTGGTGAGACTCCAGGTATCTGGGAAGATGGCCTGACGGTCCACGGCCACGACAGCCGGCTCAGTTACTTCCTGGAAGCTGCATGTGGCTCCGTGGGGCGTCTCAGGCCTGAGCGCCTCCAAAGCCCATGGCTGCTCCCGAGTGGCAGCCACGGCCTCCTCTGGGTACAAAGGGTTGGCCAACAGCCCGTGGGGGGCTCCAGGCTCCTGGGGACCTATACACCCAGCTTGGCCGGGTAGCGTGTGGCAGGGGGGGCCCCCGGAAAGCTTACTTATAAGATTCGGTAGATCTTTCCAAACCTGAGTCTGGCTCTTTGCACCTAATGGCCCCAGAGACCCCTCCACAGAGGGAGACCCTGAGTTGGGAGTATCAGGCGTCACCCAGAGGCCAGCCAAATCAAGCCAGTTGGGAGCCACAGGAGGTAGAAGGCCCCGTCCATTATCAGTGTCCTCAGAGCAGAGGACCTCCTGGCTGGGACTGTGGCCTCCAGAGGAGGGTTTGGTAATGGATGGCAAGAATACAGAGGGCCCAGGAGGAGGAGGAGGAGAAGGAGGAGGAGGAGGAGGAGGAGGAGGAGGAGGAGAACGTATGAGGTGTGGGGATGGAGCTGGTTTGGGCAGCAGCTCTGGGGAGCTCAAGGCCACAGCAGAGGAGCTGGTCTGGAGGAGGAGAAAGACAAAAGACAGAAGGGAGAGGAGAGATAGACGGGAGAGGGGAGGGGAGGCGCTCACCGCAAGGGATGGGCTTGGGCTGAGGGCTCTGAGAGCCACCATCAACACTGACCTAGACTATGCCGAGGTGGCTATGAAGGTGAAGCATGAGGACTGGCCTGAGAAAAAGACCCCAGACCCCAAAAAGGTGTTCCTGGGCTCCACATCCTTGGCTCCCGTCAAAGCCATGCCTGTGGGACCACCCGAGTCAGAGTAGGTACAAGGGAGAAAACGCTATGGAGAAGTGGACCACAGGAGACAGGTGGCCAAGGAGGTTAGCCCAAGCACCGATCGAGAAAGAGTCGGCCGCAGGCAGCCGCCCTGCTCTGCCAAACCTGGCCCAACGTGGCTGTCTCTCCCAGACAACCCTACCCTTCCTATGGCCCCCAAGACCTTGCTCTCAGGGCACAGCCAGAACTAGTGCGGCTTCTTGTAGGACACTACGACCCTGGCTGTCTCAGAAAGCAAAAGGAGCCTAAAGGGAAGGAGGGCAGGGCTCTCCAAGGCCAACACCAGAGTCCAACACCCTAAGAATCTGACAGTGGCTACTCACCACTTAGAACCGTGACGGTCACAAGCCCAGATAGCTCCCATCCCCCACTGTGAATCCCCAGCTGGAGGGACTCTTGGAGGTACCCTCAGGGCCAAGAGCACTCAGACTGCTTGCTCCCCTTCTCAGATTCCCTGTATCATGCCCCAAAGGTCTCGGGCAGACCCACGTGGAAGGATGAAGTCAGCAACTGTTGGAGATCAGTCAATATCAATCCCCATGGAGGAACTGCATCTTCTAAATAAAACATCTTGGGCCTGGCAGGCCCAGGAAGCCCAGGATGGGAGGGGAAGGGAGGTCTCGTGCAGAACAAGCCCAGTAGCCTGACAGGTTAAGACAGAACCTATGGGGACTCAGAGGCTTGTGGAGGGTTGGGGAGAAGGACAGAGGGAGGCTGGTGGCTGGAGGCCTATGGATTCAGGAGCCAGAGGCAGAAAGAAAAAGGACGTGTTGAGGACAGCTAGCCAGCGTGGGAGACGGGACTCCAGGGCAAATGACCTCTCAGGCACAGGATCCCAGTCCCACATGGCCCATCAGAGAATGCCCTCCCCCACTAAGAGCAACCATCAACACAGAGCCCTTTGTCCCAGCCTCCTGATCCCCTTGCCTGGGTGGCTGGGAGCTGGGAGCAACCCGGGAGGAAGGAATGTCCCTGCAAAGTGCTTCTCTGCCTTCACAGGCCGTGAGGCAGCCCAGTCCCGGAGGAAGCCTGGGCCGGACCCTCCCTCTCCCACATCCCGGCAAGGCCAGAGCATTTCCAGGTCCCCGGCTCAGGGCAAGGCACCCGGACGCTGAGGGACTGAGTTCTGGCTACTCACACTGAGGTACAGGAGGAGAAGAATGAGGGGGCAGGGCGGGGGAGAGGAGGGGTCTTGGGGCACCTTGAAATCCGACAGCGAGGCCATCAGCTCGTCCAGCTCCCTGGTGGCAGAGGAGGCCGACATGCGTGTCTGCTGCTGGCTGGAGGTGGCTCTCTGAGGGCTGCTCACCTCGCCCTGGTTCACAGTGATGGCAGGGCTGCAGGGCAGGCACGGCATCAGCAAGGGCCCCGGGGTCAGCTCCACGTGCCCCCAGAGTGGCCCTCTCCTCTTCAGGGTACCAACATCTCTGCTCTCCCAGCGGGGTCCTCCCGCCCCTGACTCCACAGAAGCCCTCCAGCTCCCGATCTCTCCTGGGGGCCAGAGCGGAGGTGAGCGGCCAGCACGGGAGAAGGGAGGGCAGCTCAGGGGGCACCTTCCCCAGGAAGACACCTCTGGGCCTCCCAACCCGGCTTCAAGCTTGCCTGTTAAACAAGCCCAAATGCGATAAAGGACTTGTTCATCCCTTGCGTATCCCCCACGACACTGGATGTACATGTGAGATTGTTCCAGCAACACAGTAACAGCAAGAAGAGCTAACATTCAGTAAGCCCTTACCACGTGCATCATGTGCTATGAGCCGGAAACCATTCCAAACACTTGACACGTATTATTGGCTCTCATCCCATTGAGGTAGGTGATCTTATCACCATTGTGCTACATCCCTTCATCCCATTTTATAGACAGGAAAACTAAGGCTTGAGAGACGATGCTTAGTAAGGACAGAACCAATATGTGAACCCTTATAGTGTGGCTCCAAAGCCTGTGCAGACAGCCGCTAAGCTATGGGCGTCCTTGTCATGCACAATGTCATCTTTTCTGATAGGTGGTGGTTCACTGGAGGCAGGGAGGGTGTTCATGGGACTCCACTAACCCCCCAGCACCAGGTATGGGGCCTGGCAAAAAAGAGGCACTCGCAGAGGGAATGGGTGACAACTCGGCTAAGTGGACAGACACCGGGGCATAGGCACTGGCTGGGTGAGACCTTCCCTGCTGGGAGAGCCCGGTGATACTCACACTGGGCTGGGCACAGAGCTCTCCAGTTCATCCAAGAGACTCTCCACACTGGGCCGCACGTCCTCCAGACCACGGCCCCCATTCCGCTTGGGCTTCTCTTTGGTCAGGGGCCCAGCTTTGCCCCCCAGTGGGCTGTTATTCTCCGGGATGCCACAGTGGGGGCTCAGAGCCCCAGGCAGTGGGGGGCTGGAGTTGGCCTCATCTTGGAAGAGTGAGAGAGAAAGGCTGGTCAGCCCTGACCCCTCTGGGGATCCAGAGGCCAGCAGGTGGATCTGGAGGGGGCAGGAGGGTGTACAGGGATTCAGTCCTACCTGCAGGGAAGCCTGGGGGGTTATGCTGCACAGCGTTCAGTTCCAGCAGCAGGCGGTCAAGTTCAGAAAGGTTGCTGCCCAGGGAGGAGCTCATCACTGTGGGTGAAGGCTCGGCAGACTTCTGCTTGTTGGGGAAACTGAGAGGCAAAGGGGAGGTCACAGTGAGAGGCGTCCCACCCCCATAGTTTTGGTGGCCTCCAAATTCTCAAGGAGAATAAGGCAGAAGGCGTACAAAGTCTCCCCCCCCAGCAAGAGATTAGAGAGGGAGGAAGGGATGTGGTAAAAAGAGAGGAGGAAAAAGTCTTGCCTCAGTTCCTCAAAGACACAAGGTGCTGTGACAACCCAACCCTGCTGTTGCGTGGAGATGGCAATGCTGAGGCCACCGGGCCAGTCCAGAGGCATTAGGAGCTGGCCGGGAGCCTCAGGGCCTTCTGTGGGCTGTTGGAAGCAGGAGGGGAAGGAGACAGGCAGGCAGGTACCGGGGCAGTACCTGTAGACGTGCTCTTCCTCACCGGCGCGGGGACATGGAGGGCCGCCGCCGTCCTGGGGGACGGAAGCACTGGAAGTTTTGGCACTGGAGCCGTACACAGGTGACGGAGACTGAGGCTGCAGGGAAGAGAACGCTCAGAGCCTCCCCCAAGGGGAGGAGAAGGAAGAGCCCGAGTCACCCCCAGGAGGTTCCTGCTCACAGACAGTCTCACCAGGGAATTTCCACTCTGGCTGGGAGACAGGTGATTAACACTTGGTCACTTGCCCCCTCACGTGGCATCTGCGAGACCTGGATATTTCCTGGCCCCTCTCCCTCTCCCTCGACCCCATTCCTCCCCCGGTTCCCCAAACGCCTACAGTCCCGAAGCCTCTGTTCCCTGTCTTCCCAGCCACTGCCCCCACCTTACCTGCTGGTGGACGAATCGGGAGGCACTGGGCTGCCACTGGTCTAAGGGGTCAAGGATCGTGCCATTGAGGGCCTCACTGGATGGGGGTGGAGGGACAGGGGGCGGCACGGCAATCTCCTGGTATGTGTGGTTTCCAGTTGGGTATGAGTAGGGGGTCTCCTCAGACAAGAACACGGGCCGTTTGGAGATGTGGGAGGTGGTGGACTCCAAGTCTGCCAGCAGGGCGTCTGTGGAGAGAACAGGCAGAGAGCTGGTAGGAACCAGGGATCCTGGACCGCACGGTCCAGCGCCAGTGCCTTTCCTGCTTGCTACACCCAAGAGTTAATGACTTCTGAGCACCTGCCCCACCCCTGGGAGAAATAACCAGCCTCAGGGCAGGAAACTGTCAGCCCAGACCAGTCTGGCTAAGAACCGGCTTCCAAAACTGACCTCTTCTCCCCAGCCCAGGACTGAAGGTGCCATGGAGGCTCCGTGGGCTGCCTTTGGGGCTCTCCTACCTCTGGCAGTCAGGCACCTGTGTTCCCTGCCGACAGGGCTGTGCAGCTGGCTGGCTGGAAGTCAGAAATGCCTGCCTGGCACTCTGACTTCACAGGGCAAGGCGGGGAGAATGGGCGGGAGGGGCCACACGTCACGGGGAGGGGCCCAGGCAGTGCCAGGTCCCACTTAAATTCCAGGAGCTTAGGCTTTCTCAGTGCCCCCCCCACCCCCCCACCCCCACCCCGACTAGAGCAGTCCCGGGGGTGTGGTACCTGCCTTTCTGGCTAGGTAGAAGTAAAACCCCAGGCTCCGAGCTCCTCCTGAGACTTCTGGGCAAGGCTCTGGGCTACTGGGGTGAGGTACGCGAGGAGGTGGGGGCTGGTCGAGGCTGGTGCAGTGTTCCCCACCCCCTCAGCCAAGCAGGGGGCAGGACTGCTCTGTAGGCTGTTCCTGCGGAAGCCTGGCAAGCAGCCTGGCCCCAGAGGCTCCAGGGCCCCACTACTCTGCTTTTAACAGCAGCAAGGGAGCCGAATCGAGTACAAGCTTCCATTACTCTGGCACCAGGCAGCCAACAGGGGGGCCCTGGATCTCCCCAGTCCCCAGACGAGGGAACAGCTGGAGGGGCAGGAGTAGGAACTGTGGAAAACCCCCCAACTTCAATCCTCCCCTCCTGGGACCCTCAACAGCCCCACAGCCCAGAGAGCCTGGCCCCAACACCACACCCTCATTCCTACCATGTTCAGGGACTTGCTCACTCTCACTTCCCTGCCGACCTGCTGAGGGTCAGGAATGACGCTCAGTCCCTGTGGGCCTTAGGATATTACATATCAGAAAGCAATGGCTGTGCCTACTGCCATTTACTAGTAACAGGCACTGTGCTAGGCACTGTGTGTACATGGTCTGTCTGTTAATCGTAATCCTGGATAAACCTGGAATTCTGATCCTCCCTTTGCAGATGGGAAAAGGGGCTTCAAGAGGTGATGGGGCTTTCCCAGATAACAAAGCCAGTGACAGACAGGACTGTCTGGCTCTTCAGAAGCCCCAAACCCCAAAAATCTTGCCTGCAAGAGTCTGCTGGGATCACGACATGATGCCACATTTAAACAGCACAATTTCCTGAATGTCAGCGCCCAGGATCAGAGAGCTACCAGTCTCATTCTTCCTAATGGCTCTGTCCCCAACCCTACCCCAGCTCAGCAGAGGGAAGCAAGGGGGGCCCACACCTTCCCCCAGGTGCCTGCCCGTCCTCCCACCCCCAAGGCTGGCCACACCTACCCCTGGCCCCTACCCAGCTGGTCAGAGGGGGAGCTTGTCACAAGGCCCAGGACCCTGGGGCCAGTAGCGCAGCACAAGGGTCTCCTGACTTCCAAGGAAGTTCCCGCAGCCCCCTCCCACTCCGGATCCTCTAGGAGATGTCTGGCTTCCTGTCTCTACCAAATCAGAACTAGAGACAGTCAGTGTGCACCTAGGTAATGACAGAAAAGGACCCAGCGTCCAAGGCCAATCCCAGTGGCCTCTGCACAGCCGCACCTGCTGCCCTGGCTTCACGCAGCATCCCCATTTCTTCTGGGCCCAATCCAGCAGGGGCAACCCCCAGCTGGAAAACCCCAAAGGGCTCCCCAGAGCAGGCAACAAGTGCAATACCAGTGAGACTAAAAGGAGCAGCTGCCATGCTTGACCACCCACCACATGCCAGGAGCTTTACCTGTGTTCCTTCCCTTCCTGCTCACAGCAAAACTAGCACGGAGGGGAAAGTGAGGTTCAGAGAGGTAGATAGAGTCACGTCCCCATGATGCTGAAGCTTGCTGCCATGACACAGCCAGGATCTGAACTTGGCTCTCTCAGGCTCCAAACACTCAGTAGAAGACAAATGGTTAACCCATTCCATCAGACCCTCTGAGTGAGGGCCTCCACTGCCTTCTGCCTCAAATACCCCATCCCCCCTAGTCATGAGCTGACTCTAAGTCTGGTTTATAATTTCACTTGTGTGTTTTAAGTTTATTTACTTATTTTGAGAAGCGGGGTGTGTGTGTGGGGAGAGAGAGAGAGAGAGAGAGAGAGAGAGAGAGAGAGAGAAACCAGTGGGGGAGGGGCAGAGAGAGAGGGAGAGAAGATCTGAAGCGGGCCCTGTACTGCCAGCAGCGAGACCAACGTGGCGCACTTAAACTCACAAACCAGGAGATCGGGACCTGGGCCGAAGTCGGACGCTTAACCCACTGAACCACCCAGGCGCCCCTCACTTGGCTCTTTTTTTTTTTTTTTTAATTTTTTTTTTTCCAACATTTATTTATTTTTTGGGACAGAGAGAGACAGAGCACGAACGGGCGAGGGGCAGAGAGAGAGGGAGACACAGAATCGGAAACAGGCTCCAGGCTCTGAGCCATCAGCCCAGAGCCCGACGCGGGGCTCGAACTCACGGACCGCGAGATCGTGACCTGGCTGAAGTCAGACGCTTAACCGACTGTGCCACCCAGGCGCCCCCCACTTGGCTCTTTTGAACACTGATACATCTATTGGTCAAAAGGAGTAGCCCTAGGGGACAGAAACAAAAGATCTCAAGAGTTCAAGTCTCAGTTCCTCTATCTACTACCCACGGCCAAACAGCAAATCCCTTCACTTCCTTGAGCCAGCCTCAGTTGCCTTGGCAAGCGTGATTCCTACCTCACAGCACTGGTGTAAGGTTTATATAAGCCAGCAGATGCTACGCTACATGGGAAGCTACAAACATCAGATCTTATTTGTCTTGTGACATTCTGAAAAACATCTTCCTCCAAGGAGATCAGGGTAGGATGCAAAGTACTGACTTCTCCTACATGTTCTATGGGTAGAATCTGGGCAAAACATGACAAGGGCAATCTGGAAGAGAAAAACAAAGTGACGAAGTAACATTCAGAGTGAAACCTGTGTGGATGCCTGGGAGAGAGCACATCAAACTTGTGTCTATCTGAGTGAGAGAGAGAACACACGCACAAGCCAGCAAGCCACAGGGCCTCTAGTGTAGCTTCCTTCTCTCTCTGCACCGTCTTTGCTCAGTGACTGCACAGGACTTGGCGTCACTGTCCCCCCACAGGCTCCCCCAAATGCGTCAAAAAAGGGAGCCAGGAATAGAGGAGGCAGCCAAGGAGGACTCTGGCCTCTACTTTGGATTCCTATGGGTGCAGAAGACTGCTATGTCCCCATGGCCTAGAAAATGGTTACAGGCCAAAGTCTCCTTGCAAAAGCTCGGCAAACTCCTCCCCTGCTGAGTAAACAGAGGCAGCAGGAAGAGGACTGATCAAGGGAGTCCACTTGCAAGCAGCACCACATGGGTGAGTCCCCCAGTTTTCAGCTACAGCTACTGCCTGGTACTTAGCTCTAAACACCCGGGGGCCAGGCTCAGTGTCCTACTCAGATCCCAAAAAAGGGGTCAGAGAAAATGGTGTCCATTGGAACACTTTCCCCCCTCCCAGTGTTTGTAGAATACGTTCCAGATACACAGAAGCAGGATCTAAAGCAATGGGGGCTCCCTCATCCAGGCTAAGGAAAGCTTCAAACTTCCTCAGCATTTCTCCACTACCTTTCTGGCTCCAAGCCTGAGACCTCCAGAACAAGTCAGAGCCACTAGGAGCACCCAAGCCACTCTGCGGAAGGAGGCTCTCCCTGGGGCTTCCCGTTCCTTTTCTGGAAGAAACCGCCCTACATTCTGCAGGCTTTTTGCCTCTCTGGGCCAGCTGATGCATGTCCTGCATTTCCATCCAACGTGTGTGTCGGAGGAGGGTTCTCCTCTCTAGGTAGGTGAGGGAAGGGATGGCTGGCTCGGTGCAAAGACTTCCAACCCACCGGGGGCAAAGGACACCCAGCTATGCCCTGGCGAGGAAAGGGTGCGGTCCGTCCGCTGCTTCCCGCCAGAGGGCGCTACTGGCCCGTCAGCTTGTGCCGCACGCAGGCAGTAACCAAAGGTAAACTCGGCGCAACCACCAAATTTTCGAGCCGGGGAAGACCCGGGAGCCCCCGGTCAGGGGTTCCCTGGGGAAGCTTCAATCTCGAGAAAGCTCGGCTGAGCTGGAAGGAAGGAGCAGCTACGGGAGGAGCACGAGGAGGCCTGGGTGCCAAACCTCTCACCCGTGCCTGGGGCACACCATTTGAAGGCGCGACCCAAGAGTGACGCAGCCCCGCGAGGGCCCCGGAGACCCACAGGGACGCACGCCCCTCCGCAGACGCAGCGCCAGCGGGCGCCCCGTCCCCACCCTGCGGCCGCGCCTGGGCCCAAGCAGCCGCTCAGATACAGAAGCGCCTTCGGGTCCAGAGGCCGCTCGGAGGCTGCTTGGGGACAGGCGGCCTGGGTGGCTCGCAGCACCGGGCCGGGCAGAAGCGAAGAGGCCCTTCCCGGCAGGCGGCAGGCGGCAGGCGGGTCGAGTGGGGAGGGGGGTGGGGGGGAAGCCTCGGGGTCTGCAGCCCCGAGGGGGTTAAGACGCAGGCGTACCGGCTGGCTGCCCAGGGAGGGAGAGGAGGATAGAGGGGCCGGTCTGCCCGCATTCCAAGATGCAAGCTGCAGCTGCGCCCCTCACATTCCCAAACCAGCCCGGGGACGCAGGACAGGGGCAGCCCCGGCCCTCCTCATGCTCCCCGGGCGGCAGCTCTGGGGACCCTGGCTGACCCACTGACACACGACACCGTATAAGGAGTTAAAGAGAATCAATGAACCCCTCTTCAACCTCCACCCCCAGTGAAGTATAAAAACAAGTGAGACTCCTTCACAAGCCTGGTTTCC